ACTGTGTTGGCTTGCAGCCCTTCGGGAAGCGGGAGGGGCTTTCGGAGCAGATGTCCGGGGCTCTTGGTCGTCGTGCGTTTTCGTGCGGTCCGCCGTTGTTGCTTTTCGGAGTAACGCTTTCCTCTCAGCAAGGATCCCCTTGTGGTTAAGCTGTCTCCACCGTGTTGGCTTTGCAGCAGTTCGGGGAGCGGGAGGGGCTTTTCGGAGCAGAGGGCTCTTGGCTAAGCCTTGGAGGGCTGTCCTGTTTTGTCTGCGTTAGTGCAGTGAGCCTCGAGGTGCAAAGGTGCAGCTGCTTTTGTAAGGCTCGACTTGCAGGGAAGCTTCGCAGGCACAGCGCTAGAGGTCTGTGGTAACGTGTTCCGGGTGTTTCAAAAGAGGCTGCCATCTTGGACAGGTGGAGCTGCTCGTGTCATTGCTTGTACTTGGCGTGGTTTTCGGAGGTATCCGGGGTTCTTGGTCAGTTCAGCTTTGCAAGTGGCTGGACCCTGCAGGCGAAGGCAGCGCTCAGCTTCATCGAGGATGGGGGGAGTGCGTAGGGGAATCTTGTGTTTAGCGTTCATGCTCCCCTTCGCAGGAACAAGATCTCGGTCAGCCGCCTAGAGCGTCCGTCCCAGCAGCAAAGGTACAGGATGGACAGACACTTGTGGGGATCGATGCCTGCGTGGAAGCTTGCATGGGCTTGATCGAGAAGTACATCAACCGAAGCGATGTGGGTGTCACTAACCGCGTACCGCCCACCTGCGCAGCAAGATGTGCGCGAGGTGGGAAGACCACCTTCCTGCAAAAGCTTGGCGAGAGACTGGCCGAGGCGCAGTACCTCCCCATCTTCGTGTCCTTCAACGGGGAAAGCCCCGTCAAACGGCGGGACAACGAGCAAGCGGACGCGTGGCTGTACAGGACTATTGCGTATGCGCTGCTCCCGGGCGGCACGCTTCGTCAGGATTTGGCAGCGAAATTCGGAACGGTGACGTGTGGGGAGTTGACTCTGAAATCCTACTTCGCGTCGCAGAAGAACGTTGTTTTGCTCGTGGATGAGCTTAACCAACTATTGCTGAAGAGCCCCAACCCCGCAGACAAGAAGGCAGAGCAATAAGCCTCGCGGTTTATGAAAGATGTCTGAAGGTGCCTACATGGTCTTCACCTCCCACATTCAGTCCACGGGGCTAGCCTTGACCCAGTACATGGAGGGCAACTCCGTTAGGGGGCTGGAAATCACGGGCTTGCCATTCGCAGCTGAGCTCCAAGAGCTGCAGAACATGTCGATAGCCTTTTCTGGCTTGACGCACGTGAAAGCAGCCTACTACTCAAGAGTCCCAGCCCTTCTATGGTCCTCGCAGCATGGTGAGTTTCTGCTCGCACAAGAATTCTCACAAATCGAGCAAGACCCGCAAAAGCACCTTGCCGCCTTCTTGTTCGAGGTTTCCGAAGGCACCCCGATGAAAGACATGGAAGCTTTCAGGCAACTCACAGATGGCAGCCAAACAGAGAGAGCAATATGGATCCCATGCTTCATGTCGCACTTCCTTGCCCAATGTAAAATTACCTCGCCTGCTTGTGGGGTTCTTTCACGGTGGCTGGAAGGCATGAAAGCTGCCGAGAATAAGGATGGCAAGGCATGGGAGAAGATCATCGCGGTTGCCTTCGGCTTGCGCTACGTTTGGCAGCAGATGGGCGGCGAACCGCACAGCTGGCTGCATGGACATGAAGGGGCAGCAATCCAGTGTCTGGATGCCGACCCAGAGGCGACAAATGTCGAGAGCGCAATTCAGAAGCTGCCAGAACCATTGCAGTACCCAACCCTGCAGTTGGTTCTCCCGAGCCACGCACAGTTCAAGGCCGTAGACCTGTTCGCTGTGAGGAGAGATGCAGACAGTACTGACTTAGTCATGGTGGCGCAGCAGAAGGAAGGCGGAGCCAGTGTAAGCAACCACCCACGGCCACAGACTGCGAAGCATGCCTACTGGATGAGAGGATCGTCGACGCAAAACGCAAAGACGATAGATGGATGGTTCCTGCCCTCGCAAAGCGAGATTGAAACGTTCTTGGGACCCTCATTGGCAGTTGCAGCACCAGCCACCTGGCGGGATCCGGTAGACTAGCAGCACAGGCTGGCCGCGAGAACGGCTTTTTTTCTGATGTTGCCTCTCCCCTGTTTGTTTCTCTCGTGACGTCTCACCACGCATTCCTTCGAGGCCCGCATGCAAAGTCTCGCATGTATTACTGAGATGCTGC